GAGCTCCGCTGGCAGTGCGGCCGCTGCCTCCTCGGGTTGGCTGGAAGTTGGCTCCCTTTTGTACCCTCTGCCCCATAATATACAGATGAGTTGTGTCTTTTTGAAATTCTGGTAGTTTTTGCTGTATTGCTGCCGTTAGATCTCTTGCTGCTTCCCTCCTCAGTCCCAGAGCTGTAGGTCCTGGAGGAATTTCCAGCCATTGTGTCATTCCCAGGCCCTGCCAGGGCAGGATCGACACCGCTGCTGGCAGACGTTCGTCTCGCCCGTTTTTAACCCTCTCCGATGTTCGCAGTTTCACAGCTTTTCTAGGCAGTTTATTCCTTTTCCCACATCTCTTCCATCCACATCCTTTGGATTTTTCTTGGCTCTGTCAGTGTCCTGAGGGAATCGAGATCTGATCTTTACTCCCCAGGTCTTGTCAGTTCTGCACTTTGGCTCCTGGTAATATTTGGAGACATACGTTTAAAGTTTCTAAGCAAGGCACCGGAGTTTACTCTGTATCATGAATCTTGTTGTGAAGAAAGGATGTAAGTCATGAACATTGCTTTTCTGTCCAGCCAGAGGCAGCTAAACTGTGTGGGGCATCACCGTGTCTGGTTTTGGTGTTTGTGCCTGGAAGTCCAAGGCTTGGGGATTACATAAGTAGCAAAACAGGAGTAAGAAAACAGATTTATTGCTTGGTCAGAGCAAACAAATAATTCTTTGTTCCATGCGCCACAGCGTACCTAAGTTGAGGACCAGGTTTTCATCACGATTAATTTTTGACCTGCTGAGGCTCATTTGGCTTAACAGACTTCTGTGGTTTTGTGAATGAATTTCTTAGCTGGTTGTTTCACAGGAGGGTGTAGCTGGGAAGCATCCTGAGGTTGGCAGCTTCCTTCTGATGATCAGCCCTACCAGCGTGCCACTCCCAGAGCAGTGGTTATTTTTCTCCACTGCTGCTTGAAAGTAATTTTTCTCTTTTTTTTTTTTTTGCCTAGTTGGGAAGACCTCTCTGATCACCAGGTTTATGTATGACAGTTTTGACAACACATACCAGGTATGTGGGTAGTGTTTTTTTTTCTTTTTTTAATATAATATAGATAGGTAAATCTATTCCCCACTGTTAAAATGTACGCCTGGGAGAACTGTTAGGGACAAGCACATTTCCCCCTGAGATGGCAGTTCAATATCACGTGTGAGGTTGTAATATGCCTTGAAATGGAGGTGAGACTTTATGATGAAGCCTAAGCATCTAGTACGATGTCAGGAATTACAGTGTACGAGAGAGAAGCAGGGTTTAGACCCTGTCTGGATATGCGAGAAGCCTTGAGCGCCGCAGGGAGAAACATTGGTTTGTGGGGTTGGCTGCCAGCGAAGACGATGGTCAGGATGATCAACGACGGATATGGAAGTCTCAGGAAGCAGAGAGAAAGAGTAAGATACGAACATGCTTGTGATAGTTCTTGGCCTCTAGCATCCGAGTGCAGAGTGTGCAGATGTACAGACAGAGCTGCGAGAAGTCAGCATGGTATTTTCTCTCTCTCAATTTTTTTTTTTTTTTATTATTACTATGTTTTTAACTGTAAGACTATAGATAAAAAAAGCCGGGGAAGCCTTGGCAGGGGAAGAGTAGGGTAGGGATGAAGAGGCTACAGATGAAAAGCTGGGGATGTGTAAGAGGCCTGAATGTTTCGGGAAGAGTTAGTTGCATCGAAAGCCCTCAGTGGTATTCCAGGGGAATACCAAATATCTCTAAAGATGAGACCAGGGTGTTATCTTTTAATTCAGGCCAAAAAGAGTTACTGGTTTAGACTGGGGTAATTTTAAGTTGTAAAGGGAAGAGAAGATTGTTTTCTTAAGGAGAAGTCATTCACGGGAACTGGATCCTCTTGTGCTTTCTGTATCTGTTTTCATGACTTTTGTAAGATGCTCTCGTAGATTTATCTGCTGATTGTAGTTGTTATAAATTGTTCTGGCTGCAGAAAATAGGACTCCCAGAAACAAGCGCTCTCTGCAGAAATTGACTGTTGTGGGTTTTTCTAATGTGAAATGGTTCATGTTCTGATGCAGGCCTTCCAGCACACGTTACGCTGCCTGTGTTTGCTAAGGCTGGAGATAATCTGTCTGAAATACTCAGGTCTGTTACATCAGTAACCTGTCTCCGGGGCTGTGATGGGCTAGGACACCTGCTTGGTCTGAGTGCCTGGAAGCATGTGTAGCTTGGTAAATGACTTCAGGTGTCTTTGTGGCGGAATTGCTGTGCAGCAGCGGACACGTCAATGGAAGGAGACTTGTAGAAAGAACTGCCTGGGAAATCAAGCTTCTGAACGTCACTGGAAAGGAAGCACATTCTGAAATGGAAAGCCCCGAATAAACATCGCTTTTCAGCTTTCAGCACAGTCGCCTGCAATTTCTAGGTGTAACTTGCCCTACCTTTTGGTTATTTCTAATAAGATATTTCTTAGCAGACTGAATTGCGGTAGACCAGAAGGAGATGCCAATTCAGATATGATCTGTGCTAAGATGCAGGAATGTCTGAGGCTAAAATCCAGACTCGGGGGCTCCTGTGCAGCTGAGAAGTGTTGGAGGAACGATGTGACATGAAGATGGCGCAGATATCCAGACTGCTTTGTTTTTGTCAACTGCGTTGAAGGCAAATGGCTTCAACAGCTGAATTATAAGTTTGTGAACATTTCTGAGAGTTTGTATAGAAAGATCTGATTTGCAGGTGCTGGAAGGCAAGCTGCAGTTCCTAATGCTTTTCTTCTTTTCAGGCAACCATTGGAATTGATTTCCTGTCAAAAACAATGTATCTCGAAGATCGCACGGTGAGTGAGGCGTCTGCGTGATCGCGCGGCGGCTGCAGTCACGGCAGCGGCCCTTGCTTGTCAGTGTAAACGGGTCTGAGCAGACCCCACACCGATCGAAGGCGTGAAGTCATTCACAGTTACCAGTGATGGCACAGTTCCTCCTCGCAGAAAAGCTCCTTTTGTAACGCAGTTCTGACGTGCTGTTAATAAAGCAGTTTTGGATTTAGCTTGCATGAGATGCATTTTTGCATGAAGAGATCCCTCGCGTCCTTCTGTCTTTCAGTATTTGTCTTTTCGTTAGTTCATGTTTTGCGAGTGCTTGTCTTTTTGCTAGTTTTACTGCTGGCTGAGGAGCATGAAACTGCTGGGGGTAGGAAGGGGCCAGGGGTGCGGTGGAAGTCCGGTGTGTTGCTTTGGGTGTGTTGCTTCTGAAGAACTCTCAGCCCAGTGTGAGTGGTGAGATTCCTGAGTGCTCCTCTGCCACCTTGCCAGTGACTCGTTAGAAAAGACCTTGGTTAATCTTTGTTTGGGAGAAACTACTTGAATAATGTTCTTCCTGGTGCTGGCAGTGGCAAAGGAAGAAAAAGATGTTGGGAATGCTGCTTGGCACCTGTGCAGGCAAGCTGCAATGCCTGTGTGCTCTTTTCAGCAGCGCAGTCTTCGTTTCTCGTGGTGGTGTAGGTCAGGATGTCATTCGCCTGCCGGCCTGCTCTCCAGAAATAGCATTTTCTTTCCAAGGCTGGGTGTGCTGTTAGCTTTCCTGATGATGTACGTGGTCCACAGAGCCACGAAAGCCTGTTTAAACAACAGAGAGGTGTTGAATGTAGATGAGAGGAGGGAGAAATACCAGCGTACAAGCTAGGAAAATTCAGACATTGAAATAATTTCTCAGAGGTGGGTAATGCTGTGTTTTGCAATAGTTTGAACCGGGGCTGTGAGAAGCCCCGTCCTCACTCCCGACCATCAGGCTGCCAGTTCCCTGTTGCAGCTACAACCTTGTTCTTGGAAGCCCGAGCAGTATTTCCTTTACTCCGTCTCCATATCTTCCCCGATGAGTTGGGTTGAAGCCCAAGATAAGCCATTCTAGAGGGTGGTTGGTGTCCTGGCTTGTACCCCACCCCTGTGTTTCACCACATCGGGCTTTCCAGTGGGTTCACCAGTAGCGGGGTGTGGGAGTCCTCAGGGTCAGGAGTCCCCGTGTCTAGCTAGCCTGCGTGGCTGCGGCAGCCAGAGTCCTGACATGGCAGGGTGCACTGAGGTGCCTGTGCTGATTTCCCTCGTTAGCAGATGGAGTGAGAAGGTCTTTTTTAGGGGTATCTTGGCCCTGTGATTAAATGGAAGAACATGTTCGTATGTGCGAGTTTTTGATGGGTCTGTGGATGGGGGGAGGTTTCTCAGATGTGCCAGGCGGAGGTTGCTCCGAGGTTAGAAGTGCCGTTGGCTCTTTTCACATTTCTGTTCCATTTTAACTTTCCTTTTGTTGCGTTATTTTTGCTTTGCAATTTTTTTTCCTTTTGTTTTAATTTCACTTGAGTTTTGGTTTTGTTTTCCATTTTCCTGCTCTTTCCCTTCCCTCTTCCCCTACACTTTTCTGGTTCCCAGATCAGGCTGCAGCTGTGGGATACAGCCGGCCAGGAGAGGTTCCGCGGCCTCATTCCCAGCTACATCCGTGACGCTGCTGTGGCTGTCGTTGTCTTTGACGTTACAAGTAGGTATTGAGCCGGAGTGTCTGCAGGGACCTGGCTTTTGTCATGTGCCTTCTGTGCGTTGGAAGTGGTGGTGTCATCCGGAAGGAGCTAAGATAGGCCTTTGGCCCCAGGACTGTAGGTGGGCTGAGGGGACGTAGCTGAGCATCTTCCCTCCCAGTCAATGGTCACTCCATCCCATAATGCAGAAACTGGGCAATAGTTTAACCCCAATCTGCACAAAGCTCAAACGATGGAAGAGGTGCACAGGGGACTGGCACGTAAGGTGAGTATGGACTGTGACTTCTCCTGTATCTCTGCTGGTGGGAATGAAAGGTGGTTGGTAGCCTTTGGAAAGCTTTTGCTCTTTCTGGTTTGGGTTTGGTTTTTTTAAACCTCAGGATGTTTGTGTTTATTTTTTATTTTTTTCCTTTCTGGATAACTGGAGAGGTAATACAAGTAACGACTTCAGGTGCCAAAGCAAGGGAATACTGTCAGAGTAGGTAAATCGGTACAATGCTCACTTAAATGAAAGCTGTGTGATGACTTAGGAGGATTCAAGACTCCCATTTCATTGAGGAAAAGAGCTGGCGATTCATGTGAGTAACCAGAGAGTTTTGAAAGAGAAGAGATGTAACTACCGTAATTTCTAAATAAACAAGCTTAGAGGGAAATTCTCTGTAACTCGGCATGAGTGGTTTAGTATAAGATATGAAGATATGATTGCAGTTATTTCATTGTAACTCCTTGGTTTTGATTTCACTTGGTCTGGCTTTTTGGGGTAAGTTCCAGTATCAGTATAAATATCTAGGCAGGATTTATGCCAGTGAGC